GGCTTCATTGGCCACCAACTGGCCGACCGCACCTGTCCAAATCTTCTGCTGCTCGCTCCAGCTACCGTATACCTCCGCTGGATGCAAAATCTTTACCGTGAAATTCATCACTTTACTGAGCTCTAGCAGCACCAGACTCAAAAACTCGCCGAACTCATCATTCTGCAATGAGATTAGCGGCGAGTTCCGGGAGAATTTTTCAACAGAATTGTTAAATCAATCTACGAGTCTACGTAATCATTGTTAAATTCTAATATCGATTCCGTGGCAAAAAAATCTAATATCGATTTTCAAGTGATTTTTTTAAAGGTGATTACTTTTTACAAGAAAAGTTCTTGTCGCTCACGACCTTTTCTGTCATCAATCGCAATCATTAGTACAACGTACAACTAAGTTTGAGAAAGATGAAAAACTTACTTCCACGGACGCTACGCGTAAAACTTCGCCAAACATATCGCTCCTTCTAGCATAAAGGCTCTTTCGCGTTTTCAAGATCAGATCTCCATCAGGGGACCACGTGGCCAGATCGAACGTCCTGGTGCGATTTTCGCGTACGGCGTACCACTCAACCAGGATCGGACGATTGTAGCACAGGACCAGCATATTGGTGTGAATGTCAACATTGAATACGTTATCGGTAGGGTGCAGACAGTACTTCTCGAGGGGATTCCCAGGACGTTGAAGGAACTTGACGAACCAGACGGGGAAGGAGATGGGTTTTATACTCCTCGTGGTCTTGGCGAACTTGTTCATACTGTCCTCAGTGTCAAGGAGAACAACGAACAACGGCCGAGTGACATTTTCCTGGTACTCATTGTACTTGCTCGTCAGATCCGAGAAAGTTGTTGTCATGGTCATGACTCGCTGCCGTGAGAATTCACGCGACCACATGTGCACCAACGTCGTCGTATTAAAATCTGCGCAAGTATTCGCATTCGACGATGGTATTATATTTTATTTAACGTCAGCATTAGATATTCTCTAGATCGTGAAATGATAATATTTAATTTTTTTAGGAATAAATTTGTAATTTTTTAGTCTTAAATTCCACATCAGTATAAAATGAAGGAAAAAAAGAATTTAAAAAACTGGAAAATATACTTTACTGAAATTATTTATCTTATTCATTTGGCAGTAATATATTAGATTAATATAATAGAGTAACATTATTTAGAAAAACTAAACATATCATACATGTCCGTGAAGTAAAACAGTGTAATTAATTGGTAACTGTGTAACATTTTTTTTGTTATGTAACACTTAATAAAGCATAATTATTTATTTTTTAGTTAAATGATGTTAAAATAATAACATATTATTGATAATTTATTCATTTATAATTAAATGGGGTATTCTGGTTTAGAGGTTTCAAGAAATTGATTTTTCGAAAGTTTATATTTTAAAAGTATCCTATAAGAACGTTTTTTGGGAAAAATGAAAGTTGGATATACAAGTTAAAATGACGCGGCATAGGATATCGCATAATTGTTTCAAAGTGAACCAACTATATAAACGTGATGCTTTGTAAAATAAAATTTAAAAAAAATGTTTTACATCTACATTGTACGTATTTTATAAACTGATATTTTTCTTTAAGTACGTCTAAACATTTATTCATAAAAAAATTCCCAAATTATCTTTTAAGTCGGTTCTCAAAATCAGAATACTCCTTAACTTCATTAATTCAATGTTAAGCATGATAAAACCGAAATTATTTACATGCAAAATTATGATTCAATATTTATTCAAAAGTTCGCGGAAACTTTCTTTTTTTTCAACTGGCCGAAAGTGTTAGTATAAGAAATGATAACCGAAAATTTTTCTCGATGTATACTTACCGCAACTGTCAGATCGCACGAAAATAACGCATGAGGTGCGATAATATCTGTGGACGTCATTGATCAGTCGGAAATAATTATTAATCTCTATTCCCTCTGTCAGCGGTTTGGTGTCCAACATAAGGAAAAGCATCACGATCGATTGCGCTATCGTATACTTCATTTCGTGAAACGCAGATTTGAAAACGATTACTGAGTAAAAAAATAATAATCTTCTTTCTTCAGATGGGCACTATTACAATAAAAAAAAAAACAATTAATGATTAATTTGGAGCGAGGAATTATGAGAGAAGCACAATGAACGGTATCCTAATTTCAAAGTCCTAAAAACACTAAGGAACTGCAGAATTCTTCGAATTTGTCGAAAGTTTAGATCGCTGACCCAAAGATTAAGGAAAGAAATGAGGGTATCCGCGATTCAAGGATGTGAATGCGTGACTGAAGGACAATCGTTGCAAACGGGGATTTATCGGATCCGAGGATCTGGGGGGTAGGCGCGATAGAATGTCACCGGGTGATATGGATACGGTATTATTACAAATTACGTAGAGATATGCAACGACACGATTTTTATCAACGACAAATCTGGTAAATTATTTATCGTCGTCAAGCTGCTCGTAATCGTCATTACTTATCCGTTCATCGCACACGATGCTACTATTTCATGTATGTACAGTCATGGACACATCGGTTGCAACACACTTTTTTTTTTATAGGTTTCAAAACGCGTTAATATTTTGCAGATGCCGACCACGATTGGTGTTATACTGTTTTTAGATTATAAAGATAGTACATCGTGGTTCGCATTTGCAAAATATAAGTTTAAAGTTATCTATAAAATATATATTATGTATATTAAATATATATTAGAAACCTATAAAAAAAGTGTGTTGCAACCGATGTGTCCACGACTGTACATATATGGCATTCAGGTGTTTTAGTTTTCAGTTTTCACAGATTGATGCATAAAGATCAATACGAACTTAAGTGTCTCGTAAAAGGAATGTGGCGTTGAGCAGGAAAAGAAATCTTTGTATAAATCGTTAATTTTATCGTTTAATTTGTTATCGCAAATAATTCGAACTTCTAGCAAACATTGAAGTATTTAGAGAAATGTTAGAAATATATATAAGAAATAAGCTGCTTTAGGCAGCTTTTTTCTTTGCTAGAAAAATGTTTCTTAATGGTTATTTTATTTTAATAACAGCACGCCGTAATTCGTTATATAATAATTAAAATAATTACTATACACATTATAATCATTAGACTTAAAATTCGAGAGAGAAATTGTTATTGATATTATTAAATATTTCAATGTATTACAATATATTATTTAAAAAACGTAGAATAAAAGAAATTTTAAATAACAATTAACTGTTTGATGTTTACAAACACATACATATACCTACACACGAATAGAAAATTTCTATTAATAGAAGAATAAAGGCGATGAAAAAATTATCTCGATAGAAAGTTATCTGTCAGTTCATTTTAAATTAAATTGCAAATTTTACCAATATACGGAAAGAATTTCTTTTTAAAGTTTACCCTGAAAATTATGTTAGTATTGTAAGACAACATAGTATTTCGACAAATTTTACTGTGCACTACAATAAATTTGTTGTAGTATATATTAAAAAATATAATAAAAATCTAAAACCTAAAATTTGTCGAAATATTATGTTATCTTACAATTAACATGATTTTCAGGATAAATTTTAAAATAAAATTCTCTCCGTGTATCAATTATAATACTTTTGATCTCGATTTAAATTTCTTTCTCCTCGATTGATAATAAAATTTCTCTATAATTAGCACTACTTATAATAAAGCCTTCGCAGATAATCGCAAAAATTAGGATGACGTTAATCAAGCAGACCGGCTCGTAAATATTGCTTTTCGACTGTAACAAGAATCACGTGTTCCTCAGACGCAAGTTGTCCAGGAATTTTTGATAATTCATTAAATCTGTGTAGGAGCTTACATAGGAGCATCCCTAAGTTATTTATACATATATCCTCTCGGTGCTGATGCAGGATATCTTTACTTCTACACTTTACTTCAGAACGCTCATCACTATACAAGCAACTTTACTTCTCTCTTTGCATACCTAAACCAATAGCAGGTAAGCACTGATTATATAAAAAAATTTCAATCACAGATACTCTGAAGCATTCATATTAAGGCTCGTGCCTAGTCAGCCACGAACCCTGCGTTGATATGGTGCCGATACTATATCGCGGTAGAAATTTGACATTTGTTTGTTATATTAGGCACGTTTGATAATATAATACGTCATTTTTCGATGTTATAAATTGTAAACTGTGATAATTCTACAAAATATGTTGTATGCCGATATCGTAAGCAGCAAAAATTGATTAATCACAATCGAATGTGAAGAGAATATTCGACTTTAACGGACCTACTGTGAAAAGTGTTGACGACAAATTTGTGTTGCGTGCCATTTCTTTGTTATGTGCTTAATTTTTTTTACGACTATTTATCGACTATCAGGGGAGAAAAAAATAGTTGTCCGTTTTTACAAATTTTTTATAGCAATCCCATTTTGTTATGTCATCCAAATTTTCTTCATTTAAAAAAGGCACGTAACAAACTTTTATGTGCCATTTCTCGCTTATGATGTCACGATTCCAATATGACCACGTGACTAGTCAGGAACCTTAATTATACAGGTAGAAGAGGAAAGTGTAATCTCATAGAAATAAAAAATTGGCCTACTATATCGTTTAAATTAATTTCGGTTTGCATTCCTCTTCATGTTGCAAACAGAAACACGGATCAGAAATATCGATTGTATTTACACAAAGCTCTCGATCAGATCTTTCGGCAATCTATATGTTCATCCTCTATTAATTCCATCAGTTTTACCGAGAAAGAGTTTTGCCTCGTACTTCGCCTGAAATTCTTGTGAAAAATTGTCTTATGACACAAATATCTTTTGTTGTTCCCTACGCGTCAACGATAGACAACTCGATAGACATTAAACGTGACCGTAATTCCATATATTACCGAATGCAACGGTATGACATAACTTTAATCGTACGAAAGGCGTATGAGCTGAAAGTGAAAGTCAGACTCCTTGATCGCTCAGTAAACTTATGGAGACTACGTCGTAGTCGGTGATGCCGTGTCGAACGATTTAATTTATAACGTTTTAATTTAAATCGATTTATTTATCGTCTTCGACGAATTCATCGTTTAAAAGGACAGGACGCTGTCAGGAAGTGAATCAGTGCCGCTAAATGTCGTTATCAGCACCGCCGTTAGAAATATCGTGAAGTACGCTATGCGCAGCGACGAACGTTTCGGAAACACCCTGGAGGAGGGAATTTAATTATAACATTAATCAACTTGAAAAAAAAAAAGAGAATAGAGTTTAATGTCAAACTTAATTCTTAATTTTATTAACACGTAATTTACTATTCTTTTTTTAGAAAAACAAAGTAATCATTTACAAATATCTTATAGCCAAATGTTTAAAATTGCTTCGAAATTTATTGTAAAATTTTTATTAACTATAAGGGCCTGCTGTCAGAAGATGCTTCAAATTTTGATGAAATTCAGAGATCAGATCAATGACGCTTCGTGATTGCGACATGTCTTTATGAAGAATAGGAGAAGCGGCGATTACTCAGAGCGCAACGTGACAATCGTAGCCCCTATATGCGAATTAAATATCTGTCGCGATTGTATTACATTGTTAAAAAATTAATTTCACATTTAAAAAATCAAATCGAGCTTACTCGATTAAAAAAGAGGCTGGCATATTGGTGGAAGTTGTCAAATTGTATTTCTTAAGATACATTTCATATATTATAAACTTAAGTTCATAATAAAAATTAAACAGTATTCGAGGAGATCTGATGATCAGCACAGCTGATTGTTCGATATCTTTCATGAATCAATTCAAAACATACTTAATACATCCTAAAGTCAAATATTAAAAACAGACCGCTCGACTTATAATATAGTCATTCTCACAATAAGATCCTCACAATAAGACAATATTGTTTTATTCTTAATTGCAATTCATAAATATTGATAGTTAAATTTTATTTAAGCAAACTATTATATAACTGTAAGGTGTTATAAATTACAATAATATTATGAATAGTTTTCAAAAAGATTTCTGAAAATAATAGAATAATATAATTATATAAGAGAATTGTCATAAATTTCACAATAAATAGTAGAAAAATTGACTACAATCTAATTCCACAGAGGATGAAATATTTCGAAATTTTATATATCAGATTCTTATCTAATTCTTATTCTTATAATGCATTAGAATTATAAAAGAATATAATTATGTGCACTTAATTTATTTATTAAAATTTTAAGTTTTTAGAAGAAATCTCTAATAGCATTTATAACGAATCTTTTATTTATTATGGCCAATAGCCAATCGGTCTATTATAAAATTCTTGAAGTTTTAAATTTTTCTCGTCATTAATTCTCTTTCGCAATTTATTCCTTACAGCAAAATTATGATTCAATTTTTCAACAATCAATTTGTTATTTTTAGATCGAGTTTTAAACGAACAATACATTTTCTCGATTATCAAGATGAATAGTGCCAAAATCATACCACCCATCATTATCGTCAGAATCGGCGCTATATCGTGTAAATCGATTATACCGTTAACCAACGTTTTCGGATTATTTTTTGTGAGATATTTTTTCCGCAACTTGTTCATAACGCCATTAAGCTGAAATCGCTGCAAGCTGAAAAATGCAAAAATATTTAAAGAATTCTTTGAAAAAAAAGAAGCAATCGTAAACGGTTTAATGTATTTTTTGTAAGTACATAAAGATGTAAATATATATATATATATTAACGTATACTATATATACTTATAGGACTTACTGATAATTTATAAAACCAGTGAAAGGACTTCCTTTTGTTAGCGTTAGCCCCAGATTATCGATTCTCCCGGTATCAATGTATACGATCTTACACTGTATATACATGTTCATAGCTTCTTTGAACACCTCCGTCGTATAAAATGCCAAGTTCTCTCGCTGACAGATCTGCGTGAGAATTGACGTGAATCGACTTAATGAAACTTAACGCCGTTGATATCTTTAATAAAATGATATAGCTAACTTGCTTGAAACCGTCCAGCGACGTTTCTGGTAAATACTTCTTCTCCTCCAACAATTGGTACATTTTCAGATAAACTGGATCTTTGACACTCTGCAAAATTCGAAAGAACATAAAATTTGAAAAAGATGATATGTTTTTCTTCCAATTACGTAGTCAGAATAGAATGACTTCTTTATGTACTCTCGTTAATAATACTTATTATGAGAATGAGAAAAAATAAAAAATTTAAAAATAAAAATACATTCTCTACAAATAAAAAATTATGTTTACTAACATTTAAAATTATCAAAGTTTCTGCAAAAAATTATTAAAATACAAAGGCTATTTTTATGTGTAATGTTATATATCATGTAATGTTAAAGCTTTCCAAATCTCGATTACAACTGCGAGATTGTTTTTATTCACGAACTTCAAAATTACTGACTCCATTACGAAAGTCATTTCTGTGCTTTTAAGAAAGGCGAACTTACACTAAGAACGTCATAATCGGCGCTGTTTTGCATAACAATTAATTTATAAGTGCCGTCCTTCACATAACCCTCCAGAGTGGAAAAAGGCAGTTTAGGGGTATTGAGTGCCAGAAAGCTGATCAACGAGGCAGAATAACTGGCCAGAATTATTATCGACGAGACGTAAATCGAGAAGAAAGCCAGCCTCATTGGCGATTCTCTGGGAAATTCTGCGTGAAATATATATACATATATATATATATATATATATGTATATACGTATATGTGTATATAAATATAAATAAACAAATGAATATATATATATATTCATTTATTTATTTATATTTATATATATATATATATGTTCTATTCTCGCGTCAAATATACATATTATTAGCATTATTGACGCATTAATTGCGTAAATCGTCAAGAGTAATATAAAATATCATATAAATAAAACCTTAAGTGAAATTATTAATTATTTCTATAACAAATATTACCTGGCAGACCTTGCTGGCAATAAATTCCCCAAATCTTAATATAGTTTTCGGACATTAAGTCCATCGAGATGTATCCGTTTTTTGTTTTCATAATAGTCAACAGAAAAGAAGCAATTATTATTATCATTAGTAATGCCATCCAAGTGTCTAAGCTGAATGCCTGCAAGATTTATAGATAGAAGAAAACAATTTATTGACTAGACTTAATTGTTACCGCAAATGTTCATCTATATAAATTATTTTAATACTATCTTTCTTTTCAAAGGTGTAATAAAGATATAAAAATATAAATAATTATTAATAATTTAAGTTTTAATTTTATTATTATAATAAAGACTTTATTGTAGATAAGATTTAATATATTTAATTTCATTGAAACAAAATAAATATGAAATTTTTGGGTTAAAACTTTCATAACTTTATAATTATAGCTTGTATAATTAAAGCTCCTGACATAGTCAGCCACGAATTTCGCGTTGACGGTGGCGGTACTTATATCGCGGTAGAAATTAGAATCTTAATTGTTTGTCGTACCAGCTAGGTCCGTTTTATAATACGTCATATTTGGGTGTTATAAATCGTAAACCGTGATAATTCTACAAAATATGTTGTATGCCGATATTGTAAGCAGTAAAAATTGATCAATCACAGTCGAATGTGAAGAAAATACTCGACTTTAAGAAAATAACGGACCTGTTGTGAAAAGTGTTGACGACGAATTTTGTGCTGCGTGCCATTTCTTTATTATGTGCTTAATTGTGAAAATATGACTTATCTTATACTTAACAAAGTCATAGAAATGGACGGAAACTAAAGTTATTATTGAATTTTATATATAAAAGCATATTATTTATTTTTTTTCAACAGCTGTCAAATCGTAACTTTTCTTGCCGGAATAGGCTTCACTTTACATGCCTTTTAAGACTATTTACTGTCTGTCAGGGGGGAAAAGAATAGTTTTCGTCCATTTTTACATACACGGAAAGAACGATTTTGTTGAAAGATCTAAAAATTTTATTAAATACAGATCTGAAAATAATTCTTATTAAATCATCAAAATATTTAATCATCAAATTATTTAATAAATCAAATTATTTAATCATCAAAATAATTGGTTGGAAAGTTGAAACTTATAAGCATTGTTACAAAACGTTTTGATATTCTAGCAATTATATATATATATATATATATATATATATACATATATATATATACATATGTATATAGGGAACTAATACAGAGAAAAATTGCCAATACTCACATATTTGTTTTTAAATTATATTTCTTAAACAAAAGCTAAAAATAAGAATTTAAACACATAAATACGATTAGAAAGCCTTTTTTCAAATAATATAATAGTTTTCTTATAATACTGTTTAGCATTTTGTATATTCAACATTTTTGTTTGCTAAACAAAAATGGGAATCTGACAAAATGAGTCTTAAAATCAGCAAAAAAAGAAAGACAAAATATCAATAAAATAGTTTTAGAAAGCTAAAAACGAGTAAAACAATCTCATACTAACAATAATATGTCCGAGTTATTTAAACTAAACTAAAGCATAAGCAATTCGTACAAGTGTAATTTTCGCATTTGTAAAATTTTTATTTTTAATTAATTTTATAAACAAGTCACACAAATATACAAATTATGGGTATTTATCTTTTTAATTATCTAAACTGATCATCTTTTTGTCAGAATCAATAAAGTGCAATGTTTAGTTTCCGAGAAACAAATGGATATCTCTTTAGGATATCTGTATCAGTATCGGCAATTTTCCTCTATTTATTAGTATATATGTACATCATTAATATATACGAAGAAAATATTACCCCTAAGTACAAATGCCATTGCACGTTGGACACGATGGGCTTTTTAAAATAGAGGCAATATCGCGAGCGTACCAATGGAATCGTAAAGTCGATAACGTTTCGTCTGTTGGCCGTCATCGTGAATGCGGAGATGCCGATGTCGGCTTCATTGGACACCAACTGGCCGACCGCACCTACCCAAATCTTCTGCTGCTCGCTCCAGCTACCGAATGCCTCCACTGGATCCAAAATCTCCACTGTGAAATTCATCGCTTTACTGAGCTCTGTCAGCAACAGACCTAAAAACCCGCCGAACTGACCGTTCTCCAGTGAGAGTAGCGGCGAATCCTGAGAGCATTTATTAACAGAATTGTCAATTTACTAATCTGTTGATCATCATTAAATTTCAATATTGATTCCGAAGCAAATTTTAAAATCGATTTTCAAGTGAATTTTTTAAAGGTGATTACTTTTTACAAGAAAAGCGTCGCTTACGACCTTTTCTGTCACCAATCGCAATCGTTAGTACGTCAACCAAGTTTGAGAAAAATGAAAATCTTACTTTGACTGAAGCCACACGTACAACTTCGCCAAACATATCGCTTCTTCTGGCGAAGAGGTTCTTTTGCGTCTTCAAGATCAAACCTCTATCGGGGAACCACGTGGCCAGATCGAACGTTCTGGTGCGATTGTCGCGTACGGCGTACCACTCAACCAGGGTCGGACGATCGTAGCACAGGATTAGCATCTCGGTGCCGAAGTCCACATTGAATAAGTTATCGGCAGGGTGCCGACAGTACTCTTCGAGGGGATTCCCAGGACGTTGAAGGAACATGACGAACCAGACGGGGAAGGAGATGGGTTTTATGCTCCTCGTGGTCTTGGCGAACTCGCTCAAAGTCTCTTTAGTGTCGAGGAAAACAACAATCAACGGTCGCGTGACATTTTCCTCGTATAACTCATTGTATTTGCTTGTCAGATCCGAGAAAGTTGTTGTCATGGTCATAACTTGCTGCCGTGAGAATTCACGCGACCACATGTGCACCAACGTCGTCGTATTGAAATCTGCGCAAGTATTCGCATTCGACGATGATATTATATTTTATTTAATGTCAGCATTAGATATTTTTTAGATGAATTGATAATATTTAATTTTTCCAGGGATAAATCTTTAATTTCTAATTTTTAAATTTCATAATAAAATAAAGAAAAAATATTTTTTTAACTAGAAAATACTGTAGTGAAATTACTTATCTATATTATTCATTTGGCAGTAATATTAGAATTTAGAAAAACTGAACATATCACACATGTTCCTGAAGTAAAAAATAATAATTAATTGGTAACTGTGTACAATTTTTTCGATTTTTTATGTAACATTGTATAATTCATATAAATTATTTACTTTTTAATTAAACGATGTTGAAATAGTAACATATTATTTGATAATTATATATTAATAATCTATTTGTTTGTAATTTAATGGGATATTGTGATTTAGAGGTTTCAAAAAAATTGATCTTTTTTCGAAGTTTATATCTATTCTTAAAAATATCACACAAAAACGGTTTTTGGGAAAAATAAAAATTGAATATACATATATAAGATACAATGACACAGTACATGGGACCGCGTAACCGATTCAAATAGGTCCCTCAATCCAATAGGATACTCAATCCAATCATAACTTTCTACCTTTCCTAAGAGAAATATATGCATTTTTTCTAGATACTTATCCAATTAGTATCTATTACTATTAACAGTAACAATACTACGTCAGAAATGGACAAGAATTTGATGGATTTTTATTCACAAAATACAAAATATTACTAGGATAAAACTGCGAATTTCATAAGCAGCAGGTTTGCTTATTAATCAATTGAAGTCCATTTATTGTCCCGTTTTTGTTTAGATAGGTAAGTGAATTCAGATTTTGCGCATCTTTTGTGTGCAGTAACTGCAGGCAATTAAGCGTTACATCTTGATTAGAATTCTAAAGAGTTTTAGTTTTTAGTTGCTAGACAGAAGTTAATATATAACTGTCTAATAATTGCTCAAAAAATGTTTGAAATTTCTATCAGGGTTGTAAAACAAAATTTAAAAAAGTATTTTACATTTACATTGTATGTATTTTATAAACTTATTACTACCATTGTTCAAGTATGTCTGAAATTCATATTCATAAAAAAATTTCTAAAAATATCTTTGAAATCGGCTCTTAAAATTAGAATATTCCTTAACTTCACTATTTTAATGTTAAGCATGATAAAATCGAAATTATTTGCATGCAAAATTAGAATTTAATATATAGGGTAACTGTCCCTATTAGTGTGCCCTGAACCTATTAGTGTGCTTTTATGTTTAAATATCGTAAGAGCACAC